TGAGTAAATATAAAAGAGTATTTTTTGCTTCCTACTTTCTTTAAAATACAGGATAGTTTAAAGCAAAAATATTATCTTGTGGAGTTTATAATGTGTGTAGATATGATACATATAACAAATATAGCATAAAGGGTGGGGCCGGGATGGTAGTAAATGGACCTATTTGGTTACAAGACTTCTACATTTTATGTGAAGTTGTACAATATTATCCCTAAGTAGATTGTGAACACTTAAGTGGTTACATTGTAATACTAGAAGAACAGCTAAAATATATGACAGAGAGGTAGAGCTATCTATCAGTAGATAAAATGAAATTCTTAAAAAAAATTGATTATTGCCAAAAGAAGACAGGAATGGAAGAACAAAGGAACAAAAATAAGAAGGGAAAAAACAAATAGCACGTCAAACTCCAACCATATCGATGATTACATTAAACATCTATGGACCAATTTAAAGGCAGAGATTGCCAAAAAAAGGAAGAGTCAACTATATTTTGTCTACAAGAGATGCACTTTAAATATAAAGACACAGACAGATCAAAAGTAAATGGATGGTAAAAGATATACCTGCAAATAGTGAGCATAATATCAGATCAAATAGACTTCAAAGCAAAAAGTATTAGCAGAGATAGGGAGTGACATCCATAACCATAAAATATCAATTCATCAGAAAAAAATAACAATAATAAAATCCTTATATATCTAATAATAGAATTTCAAAATCCACAAAGCAAAGTTTGACAGAATTAAAGACAGAAATGGAAACCTCACAATCCTAGTTGCAAGTTTTAATGTCCCTCTATTAATTGATAGGAAAACTACATTTTAAAAAATCAGTAAAGATATAGACAATCTGACCAACATTATCAACCACCTTGACCTGATATTTATAGAATACTACACCCTAAATGTGCAAAATATACATTTTCAAGTGCACATAGTATATTCATCAATATAGACATATGTTAGTCGATAAAACAAGTCTCAATAAATAGAAAGGAATTGAAATCATACAGAATTTGTTCTCTGACCACAATAGGGTGGGTATGGGGCACTTGGGTACCCTGGAGTAAGGGGAGAAGAGTGGGTTCAGAGAGCAGGCCCAAGTGGCAGTGCCAGCACAAGCAGGGATGGGGTAGGGGCTGAACACCAGGAGGAGGGGAGAGAGGTGGGTGAGGACACCAGTTACCCTCCCCAGACCCCAGCCTTACAGTCTCTGGCTGCCCCCAGAGCTGTCAGAGGGAGGGAGTGCTGCCATCAGATTGGCCCAGGTGGTGATGTTCAGAACAGGGCCCCAAGGCTTCCTGCTTGGCTCCTGTGTCTGAGGGGCAAACAGCTAGTCCTCCCTGCTCTGGCCACAGAAGGAGAGAACCTAGCAAGGTACAGAGCATGACTATTGCGAGATAAACTACTTGGGCTGGGGGCTAGGATTCAGGTGGGATCACTCTGGGCCAAGAGAGGAGATGGTGACCAAAAGCTTTGTAAGGGAAGAAAGCGCCAGCCCAAGGTTTGCTGGGTGCTCAAAGGAAAGGCCTGCTCTGCCCCATTGGAGAGCCTAACCCTTGTTCTGGCTGGAGGTGGCTGGCTGGGAACAGTGACCCCAAAACCTTGCTTCCCACAGAGGAATTCTTTGTCCAGAGTTAGACTGAAGGGAGTCAGAAGTGAGTGGGAATTTCAGGCCAGACAGCAGCCACAAAGCCAAGGCCCCACAATGGCCCCACAAGCCCTGTGCTCAGTGATAGGGCCCCACTGGGTTGAGGTCTTTCAGGAATCTTTGGGGGAAGAGCAGGGCCTGGGGCTCCAAAGCGACTGCCTGTCACTCCCACACTCAGTTGCAGGACCACCTTCACCATTGTTCCCCTGAAAGCCTCGGTCAGGGTGAGAGGGGAAAGAGCTCATGTCCCCAGCAAGGAGGCCCAGTGGGGTGGATGGCACTGTCAGGCCAGGTGCCCAGAAAGTGGGATGCTCTGTCCCCTGAGCTCTTGCTCACTGTTCCAGGACCTTGTTCCTTTTTCATTCATACAAAGAAAACAGCCGCGTGGCTCAGTGAAAGCCAAGGGTAAGGTCAGGAAGAATACAGGGTCAGGAATTCCTGCTGGGGGGCGTCTGGGGGAGGGGGAGCTCGTGTGCCAGCAGCATGAGAAACAGTACTGTACAGTGGTTAAGGTCATGGGCACTAGAACCAGACCATCTGGGCCTAATCCTGGTTCCTCCACTTACTAGTCTGTAACCTTGGCAAACTCTCCAAGCCTCAGTTCCCTCATCTGTAAAGTGGGGGAAAAAAACAACAGTATCTATTTCATGACATTATTGTTAGGGCTAAATAGGGCTTCAGCACAGTTTCTGGCAATAAATGTTACTATCATTTTGGAGGAACCCCATGTGTGGGCCTAGATCCCCTATCTAAAGGGGCATCTCCTCATCCAGATCGTGACTCAAAGTCCAGGGGCCCAGCTGACAGTGATGATTACCCCCATCACCACTCAGGAACTTTTCAGAGGGAGAGTCAGGGGTGGGGCCCTGCTCTCCAGGGCCTTTCCAGCTGGGTGATTTCCTGAGAGCTCTGGGGCAGGGGTCACAGGGAGGCAGCCAGTCTCTAAGGGCCCGTTGTTTTTCTCCTTTGAGCTGAGAAAGACACATTCTCCCCATCCCTCCTTCTTTGATGCTCAGTTCTGCATGCTCAGGCACAGACTGAAGATAACAAATCCTGCCCCTCTCTCCTTGTCTTGCTCACAAAGAGCTCTCAGTGCTTCACAATGGTCCTGTGATGCCCAGCCTTCCACGCTTATTGTCCCCAGTTGACAGATGCAGAAGTTGAGGCCCAGAGGGAGGAAGTGGCGTATTTGATGTCCCATATAGAGAAGTGGCATAGGCAGGACTCTGTCTTCCAGTGCTGTATCCAGCATTGCAACACAAGCTCATGGGCATAAAGACGGATAGCCCCTCAAGCAGAGTGCACAGCCTGAGTGGGGAGAGGGGAGAGGGGCTGTGGCTTGGATCCTCACGCCTCAGGAGCCAAGGGGTAACAGCTGTGTTTTGGGTTTTTGTTTTGTTTTGTTTTGTTTTGTTCTGTTCCTCCTTAGATGAGCTTCACATCCCAGGTAACTAAGAGCAGCCCTCAACTTGCCTTATCTTTTTCCAGGTGGGGTCCCTGTGCCCCAACAGGAGCCAGGACAGTCCACCCTCTTCCACAGCTATAACCACTGCTTGGCCCAATGGGTATATGGAGAGTGGGAAGCAAGAGAGGCTACTGGTAGGTTGCAGGAGAGCATGACCAAAGTCCACGTGGCTGTTCACATGAATAGGTCCTCCTGTGGTCTCCTGAGGTAAAGAGAGAGATGGGAGACAGGAGGACTGAGCCTAAGGTGACCAGCCGTCCAAATTTTGCTGGGTTCCTGGGATGTAAGGTTTTCAGTTTTACAAACCTGGAAGGCCCCAGGAAGACTGGGATGAGTTGGTCCCCCGAGTCTTTCACAGCTCCCAGTTTGGGAAAATGTGACTCACCCAGTAATAGGTAGAGGATACTATGGACTGAGGCCAGGAGGGAAGGAGAGGGTCAGGGGACAGGAGAGACACAGAGAGCCACACACAGTGGTTGGCACTCTGTAGTGTGGCTTGGGCATCCCTGCTCCTCGTTTGTATGTGGGTCCTTCCCACCAAGTTATATCTGCTGGAGTCAATCCCCTCCCTTCCAAAATAGATAGAGACCTGGAGAGGGGTGAGCAGTGAATGGGCCACTTCCTTCTCCCAGATCCTCTGCCAGCTCAAGATGGCTCAGTGCTCAATGGGCCCTACTTTTACCCCCTTTCTCAGGCTTTCTCTGAGACCAAAGCTCAGGCACAGCCCAGGAGGCCATCCTCCCAAGTCTCCAAAGCCCTCTGTTCCCAGTAAAGGTAGAAGAAATATGAACTAAATGCATTTCTCATTACTTTATAGAGGAAAGGGAGATAAGAGAGGTGACTTATGTTTAGTACAGAGGGCACAAGAAACAGTCACACAGGCATAGATTAAGCTGTGTGTACTCTGGCAATGTATAACTTCTGTGAACCTTGGTTTCTTTATCCTGAAAATGGGGATAGTGTACCCATTTTGTCAGATCATATTAAGCATCAAATGAGCAGTTGCTCAATAGATGTTGGCAGCTGAGGCTGTTGGAGGAGTCTTCTCTCACTCAGACTTGGGAAAAGATGCCTGTCCTGGATCTAGATCTCACCCACGTTTCTCTCTTTCTTTAGGACTTCTGCTCATCTTAGGTATAAGCAGTCCCCAGTGTTGCCTCCAGAGAATGGCAAGATGGGTGAAGACTGGGGAAGGGGGATTCTAGCGGATGGGGAGGGGAAGAGGATGGAGAGGCTGGAATTTGAGATGGGAAGAAAATGTTGGATGAGGAGGTCCCAACTGCTGGAAACTGAAGGGTGGCTCAGGGCAGGATTTATCCATGATGTCCAGGCCTCTGAAGTTCCTCAGCACAAGGAGGCAGGTGTGGGATAGTGAAGACATTCACCTCAGGCTTAGCCCCCAGCCAGGACTCCCTGAGGCCTAGGTAGCCCATCTAACCCAATGACCAGTGAAAGGAACTGGATTCTCCTTCATCCTGGCCTGCAAAAACCCAGCGGTCTGGTCCATTCCTCCTTCCAGGCTCCAACTGGGGAAGTCAGCACCATTAAGTTCTTCCTATCTGAGGTTTTCCTGGGTCAGCTCTTTGAGGCTGTGGAGTTGGAGGGCAGCCAACCTGAGCTTGGAGACCTCTTCCTGTTCAGGCTGATGTCCCCCACTGGACGCTGGTGCGGGGCCCATGTGGGCATGTATTGTGGCCAAGGAGAGATCATCCACTTCCAGGGTGAGTGTCTCTGGCTGAAACAGGGCCCTCGTCTTGGAACAGAGGCTTCCCATCAAGCGCCACTCCATCAATGGGCGGGGCTTCATGGGGATGAAGACTGTGGGTCAGGGCAGATGGCACAGGTCCCTGAAGACAGGTGCTTGGGGGCCCAGAGCATGTGGCGCAGGGCTACCGGCTCCTGGGAGATGGGGGTGTGAGATCTTAGGGCTGGAGTCACATGACCTAAGCTCAGCTCTGATTCACACTTGTCCGGTGATCCCCATAGGCAAGAATCCTGGTGGCCACAAGCTGCACACATTTTTGGGCTACTGTGAAGGTGTTGTATCTAAACAGGGGCAGCTCCCGGTGCTGCGTGCCCGGTGCTGCACTCCCACTGGCTTTGGCACATGCTGCGTAAATGCAGGGGGATTGACCACTCTGTGCTAGAGTGCTGTGTACATAAAGCCATGGACGCTGACCCACCTTCCTATCACCCAATGCGGAGCAATGGTGTGTACTTTGCACTACATCTGCTCAGCTTGGACCCCCTACAAGAAGACCAGAGTCCCACTAGCCCGGTGAGCACAGCTCAGCTACCCACCCAGGACTCCACCCCACCTCCAGAGCCGGTTAACAAATGCAGCTAACCAATCTGCTGCTGCAGAGTTCACGCCTCCCTCCCCACCCAGGGTCACCTTCCTCAAACTCAAAATCTACTTTACTCTGGTAGACCCAAAGCCCCCAGAAGAAAGCTAGGCCTGTTAACTCGTTAAGATTCTACTCTGAAACCCTTTTGGGGCCACTGCAGAAAGATCCCAGCTCACAGGTCCTGGGCATATCTATTTACTTCAGCCTACTTCAGCCAAGCGCTGCCATGGTCCTGGTCAACCCTCATTCCCATTCCCCAGTGGAACCCATGTACAGAACCAAAGCTCCACCTTTCCAGGCCTCACCCATCTCCACCCAGGCCCACCAATTCTGATTCTGGAGATCAGGACTCAGCCCTGTGGATCCTTTTGCTCTCTGAATCCAGTCTTCCTCACCTCCTCCCCCAAGCCCAGGCAGGAGATCCCAGCTTTTCAACCTATTGCCCTTAATTCAACTAGATCCCACTCCTTTCTCCAGCCCACTCACAACTTTCCCTCTAGACCCAGGCCGTCTTTCCTTGGGGTACCTTGGGCTTTGGGAGATGAACTGGGGGCCTCACATGATTCAAGAATTTTGGCAATCATACCAGACCCTTACTCAGCCTCTTCCCTTTTCCTTCCTTCCTAGGTGTCAGTGGATGTGGACTTGACTATGGACTAGCCATGACCTCAGGCATGCCAAGGTGGGCATGGAGGCTTCGGAAATGGTCATTAAACTATTTTCCGAAGCTGAATTCAGGGTTCACCGCCCCCGCTATTCTCTCCCCATCTCTCCACATCTGCATCTACATCTACAGCAGCCTGCTGTATGTAAGCTCCTCAGCCTTCCTTAAATTCCATCATCTCCAGGGAGGTCCCTGGCTTCCTGGTGAGAAAATAGGACGCTGTCAGAGGGGCCCAGATTTTGTAGGAAAAATGGAGTGGGGAGAGGGACCGACCTTGGTCTCTGACCCAGTCTCAGGGTGCAGTGCCTCCTTCCTGCTGTAGGACCCTCAGTCTCAGTCTTGTGGCACAGCTTTTCTCTTAACCCCCCACCCCACCCCACCTTTTCTTTCATTGTGTGGGTGAGTATCCGCTCTTGAGTCTGGAATGAGCGGAGCTTCCTAGAAGCCATACCACTGAGACCTGGTGTTCTGGAGTGGGTTCGGCATCCTGGAAGTCTGTCCTATCATCAGTCCAGGCACTTCCACCTACCCCCAGACCTTTAAAGGGTCAGGAACCTTCCTTACGGGGTTGAGGCGGGGGCTGATTTCCGAGGGATTGGGGCGGGGCTAGACCCTGATGCACCTCCCCTCCCGCTCCCCCCACGGACACGCCTTCCGCTCCGCAGGCGCTGGTGCCTTTAAGAACCTCAACGCCCTCCGCCCTGATTGATAAATCCACGCGCTGCCTCCGCCACAGCAGATTGCTGCCTCTGCAGAGCGCGGGCCGCGCCGCCGACCTCGCCTTCCCGGACTGCGTTCCCTTCCTCGACCCCAGCCGCATCCCGGCCGCGCCAACTCCTCTCCAGCGAAGCTCTCTCCTCTGCTGCCTCATGTCGGCCGCCCCCGCCTACAGCGACGACAAGGGCGGCTCTGCGGGCCCCGGGGAGCCTGAGTACGGCCACGACCCGGCGAGTGGCGGCATCTTCTCCTCCGACTACAAGCGGTGAGGGAGCCCGCCGAGAGGGTGGCTAGACCCGGCGCCGCAGCGGGAGACGCGCTCCGGTACCACGGACAGCGCCTGGGCCCGTCCGCTGCGG